TACCACCTATCTTTGTCAATCCATGGCTCTAGATGCAAATGGTACTGCAAAGCTAGAACAAGGGTCGTTTGAGCCTCTGCAAGGCTCCCTTTTGGTTGCAGGAGAACAGAACTAAGTGTAGGTCTGAGTCCATTTTGACTGTATCACTCATGATGTCACACTCTGTGTGACAGCATCAGTGCTTCAAATTCACAAAAGGAAAGTACAAATCTATTTAGAAAACCATAACAGTATTTAATGATAACCTCGTCTAAAAGAAATTATATATTTACAATCTTGCAGTAACTACTGAAGGCTCTCTCTGTGCCACTGTTATTTCATTTACTTCATAAGTACTCTAGGTAATAAATGAGGGGCATTCATACATAACTCCAGGAAACATTTGAAGAAAACAACACATTCACAATAATCCAAATGTAATGTGTATTTTATGGTTTAGAGTCTATCCACAGGGTTGGAAAAATATTTGCTCAGTTCTTAATATTTAATTCCTTAGAAAACACACATTTGAAAGCAACCTTAGGAAAAAAAAAGTGTTTGCATTCTCAGTGTCTGATACTCATCTACTCCATGGTAGGTATTAATTAAAATGTGTTGATTATAAATTAAAAGCTAAGGGTGTTGGTCTTTATTTTGGTATATTTTTCTTTCATTGAAAAGTTTTTTCATATAATATATTCTAATTATGTTTTCCCCTCTCTGAAATCCTCCCAGGTTCTCCATACATCCCCTCTCATCGGAATCCACACCCCTTTCTGTTTCTCATTAGAAAACAGACATCTTAGGATATCTTTCAATTCTTAATTGTTAGGAAACTGAATAATTAATGTTGAGAATAAAGCACATCCAGAAAGTTACCGAATATTATATAATAAATATATGTATTCTGTGTATTCCTTTCACAGAACTTCATAAGCTGTGAATTTCCTAAGTGATAGGTGTGTCTTTTTATGTGAATGAAGTGACCAGTAGTGGACACTTAGATATTTTTAAGGGTAGGACTGGCTACATCAAGAAGACTAGGGCTGGAGAGATGGCTCAGCCATTAAAGGCTAGGCTCACAACCAAAACTAAGCCTCTGGTTGGAGATTGAACCACTGAGTTCCAGGGATGTAGAGAAGGGCTGATAACATGGTCAATGACATCATCAATCACACATACATAATGAAACTCATATAAAAACTTCAGACACTGATCAGTGGGGTCTCCTGGCTGACGAATATATCACTATATAGGAGTAAGCACACCTGATTCTATGGAGACCAGCTCCTGTACTCATAGTCCTCCCAGACCTTGAGTCTGCATCTCTAACCTGGTTAACCAACTGTACCCTCTGTAATGAAACAGTACCACAAGTAGAGTAACACAGAATTCTGTGAGCCATCCCAGTGAATTATCAAGTCTGGAGGAATGTTGGGAAACTTTGAATTTGTGCTTGATCTGGCAGAGGTGCAAGCAGCTTGCAGACTCCTGAAATTAGTGATGGGTGTCTGAAATGAAGCATCCTTGTGAGATTATGAGGCCAATTTGTGGAATCTTTACTAACTCTCAGTAGTGTCAGAATTGGAGTGAATCACAGGATATTCAAAGAACCGATGTCATAAAACTGGTATCAAAACACACAAAGAAAATCAAGAGGCATTCCAAGGCATTTTGAATAATTGTCGGGAAGTTTTTTTGATATGAACCTATGAAAAAAACATCAAATACTGTAACTCTAAGGCATACACTTTGTAAAACAGTTATAGAGAACAAAAATAACATTTAAAATAGCCCTTAATTATTATATAACCTTAGAAAAGTAATTTAACCTTGAAGAGCCTTTCTACACACCTTTAAAATGAGGTAAAATGAGGTAGTATGAGGTAATATACTTGTTTTTAGCAGAGTTTTTTTTTTTTTTTTTTTTTTTTTTTGCATTAACTTATCTGGGCTATAGTACCAAGACAGTTGGTCAACATGTCTACAAGTGCTTTGAGTAACATTCAAATGTGTGGTTAAGTAAACAGCTCTTCACAATGTGAGCAGGCTCCCCCCAGTTACCTTAAGGCTTGAATAAAACAAGATTGCTTTCCCCTGAACAACAAGGGACAGACATCAACTAGAACAGCATCAGTCTCTGCTTGGGCTCAAGCTCATACCTGGTCTTGCCAGCATTTGTAATTGTCCTCCCTCTCACCCCAACTAGTGCACTATTTTGTATTTTGCTGCACCAGTTAAATGAGAACATATATGAAGTCATTTGTAAATTTTAAAGCACTAGAAAACATAAGAATAGTTGTTTGTTTAATATAAGTAATTCATAATGAACCCCACAGATATAAACATTAACATTTACCAACAAGGTCAATATTACAGATAAATGAATTAAAATTAGAAGGAGCTTTGAGACATATGGAAAAAGAAAGAGGAAGGTGTTAAATTTCTGTTCTGGAAAAATGTAGTGTCTGTGCCACTGAGAATCAAGTCAGGGTGGACAGGAAACTGTAGCTGAATTAGCTTAGCTCATTTATCTGCCCAGCATCTGACACAAGCTTTGCACAGTTGTTGCCCAAATAGTCAAAGAATAAATGACTTTTATCCCTGCAGTCAACCAAAAGAGTACATTTTCATGAGTGCCTAGATAGACTCAAATACCAGTTACAATAAAATAAATTCTCACACTATATGGAGGACTAAAAATATGAATGTATATTAAAGCTGTACATGTTTCAGCAGAGTTACAGGTTAATAAATCACAGTGTACATGGTAAATGAGAGAGCTAGAACATCATCCTGGATGAAATGAGGCTAAAGGCATGAACTCGAGTAGCTGATGTTCAGTTCTGTAGCCAGGCATCACTCTAAGGCTTTGCCTCCTTGAACCTTTGCTGAACTTTGCATAATATCAAGGTGCAAACATAGCTTTGCAGAAAACCATTCAACTGCAGTGAATGGTCACCTTTAAACCCAAGATGGCAATAAATGTAAGCTTGCAGATTCTAGGAACTGGAACAACGTTTCACAGTGCCACTTGTCACTTCAGACCTCTAGCTGACATGCCTTGTGGTACTCAATGGCTAGTCTGGACTTCATTAGCGTACCTCACAGCTTTATGGATTATGGTTTTTGTGGGCAGATATTTTGAGAGTTGGCCATGGAAGAATGTGGTTACTTTCAAAACATTCCAAGGAAAGAGCTTCAGGCTGAGAAAACAAGAGAAGGCTGCCAGTCTTTGTGTTATTTGGAGAAGTGTGTCGTCATAATGATATTTCCAGCCTTCTCTGGATAAGGCCAATAAAGGAGAAACCATCAAGGCAGCCTTCCTTAAATTAAAACAACACTGGGATAGTATTTTCTACTTACAATATTGGAAACAAATTTTAAAATGAATGCCCAGTTTTACTGAGATCATACTCTTTCATTCATTATTGGAAAGTGGAAAACCACTTGGCCAGGAAAGAAGGTTTTTAAAAATGCAGTAATATTTTAAACATATGCTTGTCTAAGAACTTATCTAATGAAAATAATCATCTGTGCACAGATATTACTATTAATTACATTCAACAGTGTTAACTTTAGTGAAAAATTTCTGACACTGACCACTAAACAATAGCGCTCTAGAGAGCATATAATGACATGAGATGGACATCATACATTGTTAATTAAAAGGCAGTTCACAGAGTACTATGTGTCAAACAAGTCTTTTTTTTATTTTAAAAAGTAAGCAAAGTAACAATCCAAAATCCAAGTATAAGCATAGAAAAATAGGCTAGACTACTTAGTAAAATGTTGATAGCACCTATCTTCAGGTAGTAAGTTACCAGCCATTTTTTTTTTCTTTTTACTGATTTCTTTAGGATCCTGTCACAAAATGTTATATTATAAATATTACATCTAAATGAGGTAAGACCTTACACATTTCAAGTAAAAAAAAAAAAAAAGCAACAGATAAGGACATTGACAAAACCATAATAAACCAAGACTTTCTAGTAGAAGAGGAGCAATTTGTACAGTGCTGCATAAGGTTATACATAGGTTCAAAACAGTTTATTTTTTCAGAACATGTTGTAGAATGTTCTGAAATGTCTGCACTGTAGTCATTTTGCAGGAATCCTCTCCTATCCATGCTATATTAAGTTCTGTGTGGCATGAGATCATTTGGCTTAGCTCAGGATTCTTTCAGGGAGGTGGCTTGTGACATTCACCAAATGTTAGCACACAGATGCCACCTGGAATACAGGAGGTTTAAGTTAATTAGCTGCTACTCTCTGTGAGAGTGAAAGCTAAAGCTAAGTCTACAGGGAAATAAATGAGGAGCTCATGTGCCATATATCATAGATCCATCACAGGCTGCCAAGAAGTTAATCTCTGGGGTGAGGGGAGCTGATGTGGTCAGCACACCGCCTTTCCACAAGTGTCCTCTGCTGTCCTTAACAATGGACTAGGGTAATAGTTGGTTTATTCAAGTCAATCATCTGCTGCTTGCATGGGAGTTTAGCTGCCCATCAGGTGAAATGCCACACTATCAGTTCCAGCACATTTTGGACTATAAAAAAAAGAGTGTAAAAAATATGTATTTTCCACAAATGAATGAGTTACAAGTCCCCACAAAACTATATTTAAAGAAAGCCTTTACTAGTAGTAGGACATGGGGAACAGTACCAGGCTAGCAAATTTGTTCTCTGCTAAATTCCTTCAGTAGCCAAGTCAGCCTTGCCCCAATGGGTGTGTTCAGTTTTACACACTCTTAACAAACTACACAACTGACAATGGCTAGAAGTTCAAGTGCACATTTCCAAGGAATATGTATTCTTGATACTCTTCTAATTATTGATAATCCTTCAAAGCAAGTGAGACCATGTTAACCGGCTGTTGAGCCTCACTGTTATTCCTCTCCTCAAAGTTTAAAATGCATTTTATAATCAGAACTTCCTAGGTGCTTCTGCAACCCACCCTTTCCCCGGCCAGGCAAATGGTCAGAAAGTCACAGAACACAGGACTTAGCCCACTAGACCCACCTTGCTGTTGCTGGTCCTTCTGCATATTCAGCTGACATGCGCCCAAACTGGTGAACAGGTGGCTGTCGTCTTTCCTTTGTGCGCTAGACATGGTACCAACAATTTGGCTGCAGCTCAGGGGATCACAGGGCATTTTGTCTTAGCCAGTTGTCTAAAACTGTCTCCAGAAGTCACTTGGAAAGAACACAGAGGCCCACGAAGATCTCGCCTCACATGTAAAACATTTACTCCTCTAAGAACATGCCAGAGTTTTCCCTGGTTAAGAATCCTGCAGTAAATATTTACCAGTGTTATGTCTCCTGCCTACAAAGATGCCAACTTACTTGGCTAGAAACAAGACTTCGTTCTTACTTTGTTTCAAAGCATATGAGAAACTCTCCTTTTATAATGTAAAATCCTACAAAGAAACTATCTCCACTGGTCAGTTATAGCTATTTCTGATTTCTTCTCTCATCTGGAGTCCAGTCCCTCAAGCATAGAGAGGAAGGCTAGAGAAACTCACAGGCGAGGGGGAAAGTACTGCAGGATTAAGTCAAGGTTTCTCTGCTTGGTCAGAGGTTACCCCTGTGACAGCTGGATGTGTACAGTTCTTAAGGGAGGCTGCAGGGGGAGGAGCTGAGAGAACTAGCTAATTAGCATAAAGAGTCCAGCAAGAAATGGCCTTCTGATTGCTTTCATATAGTGGCCAAAGCAGGGATTGTAAAGAAGCCCTGAGAGCGGGGTAATTAACCATCTGACTTCTGCTGCTTTATCATTAAAGCACAAGCCCAAAGCAGGGCTTGAGCGGCACGGATCTTCTCCGGCACATGTGAAATGGAAACAGTGCAGCTGGGGCTGGCTGCTCGTGAGCTCATGGAAATGTACTGCTGCAACTCTTGGATTCTGTAAACAGCTCTGAGGCTCGAGGCGAGGACAGTTATGGGGCCAAAGCAACTATTTAGAGTTCTGCAAGAAAAATAAACACATGAAACACTACCCAGAACCTTACCTTTGCTTCCCAGTATAGCCTCCATTGCTGTCTTTAGGTTCTAAGTCAAGGTGAATTTCCTCGTGCGGGCCAGTTCATTACTGTTGGAAACCAAACCCCAAACACCTTCAATTCAACGAAGTCATAATGAATACTGTAGGTCCTGTCCTGCAGCATTCGCTCCTTGTAGTCAGAAAACAGCTAACAAGCAGAATTAAGGAGGCCAGAACTGTCTGGATGCTTAAGGCTTCCTGCTAATGATTGGAGACAGGTATTAAGCGCCCTAGTAAGGTTCCCTCCTCATCATATCTGGGGGCAGGGAGATTGTGTCTCTTGCTGTTGTGTTTTTTTTTTTTTTTTCTCTCAATGAGGCAATTCACAATTTCTCAAGCATATTTTGGTTTCTAAAAGCTCATGAAATGTATGGTTTCTCTTTTTAAAATACCTATGACTACTTAAAATGAAACTTTTGTACTATGTTTTGGTTTTTATTTGATAGACCTGCACATGGAATCTATGCACAAGTGCGCGTGCGCGCGCGCGCGCGCGCGCGCACACACACACACACGTGCATGCACACAAATGTATGTATTTCTTAATTCTTCTGTTCCAGATAAAGAGAAGCCTTCTTAAACAGAGCTGGTTTTGCCTTCTTTGATTGACAACAGCTTTCCTGTAGACCTGTTCCAAGGACGATCATGTTAGAGGATATGGCTGATGTTGAGAACCCTTAAGGGTCTGCTTTGGGTATCTCTGTGCAGTCCTGGGTAGTGGCCCTATAACTAATCATCTGCATCGAGGGGATGCCTGAGTTCTTTCCGTGGATGTTGAGTTACATTTCTGCTCTTGTGGAGTTGGTTTTATGCACTTTATTGGTGTGAATCCAGCATGGATAAACTCTGCTTGTGACAGTGAATAAAGCATAGCACAGCTGCAGCATGGGAAATTCATCACAGACACCTGTTTCAGTCACTTTTATAAACACCCACCAAGTAACTTTATAGCAGCCATGCTTTACTATGCTTTTTGCTTATAAGGAAAAGCAAGATGTTGGAATGGCAATGTTGCTTAGGTCAAGAAACTGAATAATCATTGGTGTTTCTATTTATAATTTGATTAAAAATATGTTGTAATGTCATAAAAGTAATTTTCCTTTGCTGTGAACCCCTCTCTTCAAAAAATAACTCTCTCTCTCTCTCTCTCTCTCTCTCTGTGTGTGTGTGTGTGTGTGTGTGTGTGTGTGTGTGTGTGATGTGATGTGATATGTGCGAAGGCCAGGGCTTGATTTAAACTTCTGTTACTGTTCACCTGACATTTTAAGGCAGGGTCTCTCACTGAATCTTAGGATCACTGTATTGGCTAGAATGGCTGGCCAACAAGCCACAGGGATCCATCTATCCCTGCCTCCAGCACTGACATTATAGGTGTGTTTGGCCAGGATTAGGTGGGGATTCAAACTCAATCCACAATGTTTGTACAGCAAGTACTTACCCTGGGCACATTCTCCCAGACCCTACAAACTATCTTATTTGGGCTCTTCCTCCTCTGTCCTGTCATTTCCTTTCTGGAGACATGCATCTTTGTGCTCTCTGAAGGGTAGAGTGGAGTGGTGTGTTGTTACAGGTAAGCAACCTGTCAGCTCCCACTCTTAGATGAGATGCTTAGAAACTTGACAATACAAATAGTCCCAAGTTCACTGGAGAATTCTATCCTTTTAATTGAACCAAATTTACAAAGCAGAAATGCATTCATTTGACATTAGACCTCAGGTAAGTTCCTTGTTTAATTCATAGCTTGCCTTATTTCAAATGTATCTGCAATAGCAAGTCTATGAATATATTGTTAGTTTTCGTTTTGAGAATTCAATACAGTGAGTTTCGACCATGCGCACTCTCTCCCCGACCTTCTTTTTCAAATCCACCCCTTCCCTCACCTTCCCTTCCCTTCCCTCCCCTCCCCTTCCCACCCCTTCCCTCCCCTCCCCTTCCCACCCCTTCCCTCCCCTTCCCACCCCTTCCTACCCCTTCCCACTCCTTCCCTTCCCTTCCCTCCCCTCCCCTTCCCACCCCTTCCCTCCCCTTCCTACCCCTTCCCTTCCCTTCTGACTCCTTCCCTTCTCTTCCCTTCCCTTCCTTTCCCTTCCCTTTCCTTCTCTTCCCTTCCCATCCAATTTGTTGTCCTCTTTCTTCCCCCATCATACCCTATCTGTGCTGCTGTTTGCACTGTTGGATGTGTGGCTTTCCAGTGCAGCATGGTCAACCTAGTAGTGGCAACGCTCTTGATAATAATTGATTCTCCCTCTCCCAGCAGCCATCAGCTGTGGGTAGTTCTTTAGCAGTGAGTGGGACTTCCTGTCAGTCTTCCCTGTCAGAACTGGGATTTGGTCTGACTTGAAATTACTATGAGCTCACTTGGTCACTACCTTGTGCTGTCCAGGAAACACCGGTTTCCAGGATTGGTCACCACCTCAGCCTCTTACAGTCTTTGATGAAAGGTGTTACATGGCAGAAAGCAGTAGTATGAAATTTGTCATGTTCATCCTCAAAGGATAGGATAAAAGACAGATTGTAAAGATGAAAGCTGGAGAACCTGGTCTGGCCTCCATATGATCTCCTAACTCTAGGAATGTTTAAATGGCTACTGTAGTTGAGGAATAATGAATTACTGCTGCGACTTTAGGCTTCCTATTGATTTTGAGTAACAGATCCTTGTTCCTTTATGTAAGCCAATACTAGTTTTCCCTCAGATAATTCATTCTTAGTATATTTGCCACAGACATTGTGGATGGTAATTCTGAGTTTCAGAATCTTACAGTGGTATATCCCATATAATAAAATAGCCATGAAAGTGGGCTGTGTCTAGCGAGAGTCATGTTATTCTAAGTTATTCTCAGTTTTGTTTTGAGCTCATAGAGTTTCCTAAGTTGTACAGTTGGCTGGATTCCCACCATTATCTGAGACAGAGACAGGACAGAAGAGAAGAGGGAGACAGGAAAAGTCCTGTCTGCCACAGGGGAAGAGAGAGGGAAAGAATATAAGTGGGCAGAGGTCTTAATTTTAAAGAGGTCTTTTGCACCTGGGCTGACCAGGGCACTGCCTGAGTGCATTCTGCCAGGTGACAGGGGCAGGCCAGCATAATGCCTGAATCATTACACCTTCCTTCTCATACTCAGTTTCTTTTATTTTAACTATGTTGAGTTTAGAATGATATTAATGTGTTAAAAATGAAATGAATTGCATTTTCTGGTGGTCAGTGTGCTTTTTTCATAGCCTTGTTGGCCATTTGTAATCTATTGCTTGATAACTGTTCATTTTATTAGTTCATTTATTGATTGGGTTGTTTCACTTGTAGTTGTATAGTTATTTTGAGTTTTTCTGTATGTTCTAAATAGTAACCATCTGTCAGATGTATAGCTAACAATATTTTCTCCCATTCTCTAGGCAGCCTCTTGATTCAGTTAACTGTTTCCTTTGCTAAGCAAAATGAAAATTATGATAAGATTTCATCTCACCCCAGTCAGAATGGTGGTGTTTGAGAAAGCAAACAACACATGCTCACAATGGTGTGGTTAAAAGGAATCATGATACATTGCTGGTGAGAATGTAAACTGGTTCAGCCACTGTGGACACCAATATGCATGTTCCTCAAAAAACTGAAAATAGATTTACCATATGACCCAATTCTTCTGCTCCTGGATATTAACCCAAAGGATGCTGAGTCAACACATCTCAGAAATATTTGTACATCAGTATTTATTGTAGCACTATTCACAATAGCTAAGTGATGGAAACCACCTGCATGTCCAACAACAATAGAGTGGATACAGAAGATATGAAATATAATATATGATATATATGATAGAATTGTGTTCATCTATAAGAGAACAAAGTTATATCATAGGGAATTAATGTGCCCTCTCTCCTCATAAATAAGTAAATGTAAAAAAAAAATTAAGAAAAATACGTAAGTGACGATAGTCAAAACTTGGAAAAAGTTTGAGGCACATTCAAGAGTCCTAACCTAAAACTCCACAGGAAAGGAAGAAATGGGATGAAGTACAAAGGCATTGGAAGTTTATTTTATGAAATTCTAGAAGAAAATCCCCTAAGCTTAAAAGGGGGAAATTATGTAGTGTATTACAATCTCAAAATATTATTCCAAAAAAAACCTAACATCCAAAACCAAGAATCATTTAGGAATACAGATAGATATGACCAGAGAAAAGTCACTCCCTGAAATATCACAATCAAAATGTCAATAATACAAAGTGAAGAGATATTATTAAAAGTTCTAAGGGAAAAATGTTAATTTGCCTATAAAAGTGAATATATTAGAATAATATCACATTGCTTGGATTTTAGGTTGTCACCCTAAAATCCAGGAAAATATAAAATGATATATTTCAAACAGAGTAAATAGTAGCCAAACTACCCATATACAGC